TGGGGGTGGGGGGGAGGTAGTATATGATCCAGTATGCAAAACATTTCTCTTTGATAAGGTGTACAAAGACATTTCTATATAATTAATTGGTCCCAAAAAAAGGGTTGAAAATATGTCTACAGTTCAATTTGAAGCTCGAAGCCATAGTCCACTACTCTTTTGATGTGATGACCAACAACCCCAGCGCAGCTATCATTATATACTTGACGATTGGCATTTCAGTCATGATAATGGTCACCCAGCCAGCGTAAGGCAAGAACCCAACTGCTCTCCCCATGATGTGATGCCGTTGCAGCCAGCTTTGTCCAGGAGCATAGAGAAGTCTGTCATCCTTCAAATTGTTGTCTCCTTTTGTAAGGACATTAACATTTCCAGTTTCTTGCCGCTCATGAACCTTGATTGCTCGATGAACAATAGGAATTTCACGTCCATCAATAGTAAACACAACAATTTCTCCGGCTCTAATGGGATCCTTGGTCATGTGCAAGAACAAAATGTCACCCCTTTTAAAGCCAGGTTTCATACTTCCTGAAAGCACAACCACCACTGGTGACTCACTCCCAGTTATGCATACTAATCCTTTCCATATTATTAGTGCTGATGTAACAATCATTACCAGACTAACTGCTTCCTTGAGGACTTGTCTCAACCGAATTGACTTTATCGACTCAATCTGCTCTCCCATCCACCCCATCTCTCTCTCTCTCTCTCTCTCTCTTTATGATGGATTTGGGAAGAATATTTCTCTAGCAACATAACCCTAAATCAAAGCTTTTTATCCTGACCTACCCCAGTCCATTATAATTTTAAAGGGATTTTTACCTTCCTATACCATATATGAAACCTTATTACCCTCAATGTTTAAGGTTTGTGTTAATTACATTTCAGCATACCAAATTACCATTTATATACCATAATTCCAATTAGGGGTATAATTAATGCTTCATTTATATTAGATGTTAATTTAGGAGCGTATATTCTCACATTTACCTTTACCCGCCTCTCTCTCCTCCCACCCCCCACACCCCCCACGTTTTACCTTCACTACCTCACGTTTATCATCAGTTGTCCTCTACAGACCCACGATTCTAAAATTTTTTCTCCATTTAATTTCACAAAATCCCAATTTGAAGTTCCATCTGATTCAAGTTGAAGTAATCTTTCTCCCAAATCGAACACGGTGTTGACGTTGCTCAAAGCCGGGGATCATCGGCCCTTCGATCAGATTGTCGCCGACTTTGCCTCCAGCTTCCCTCCCCCTCGCCAATTTTCTGCTTGCATCTCTCTCGCCTTAATCCTTAACGTAAATCTCCCTCGCCAATAATCTTCAAACTATCTACATTGTGTGAAGACTCAATGTAGTTATTGTATATAAATTTTGTAGCTTTTTATCATAATTTTTAGATGTTTACCTCCAAGTTCTATGTAATATTTGTATATAACTGTCAGTTGAATATAAATTACACAACAAAAAATAAGAAATAAATACTCCAATCTTAGAAATGTGTTATCCACAATTAATCTGCAAATTGTCTACAAAATTTTACAAAAACTACAAATTAACTACATTTAACTTACATTATAACTACAATCCGGAAACAATTTACACATGGAAGTTCTTCAAGTTGGAATTGGCTACAACTACATTTCTTGTTTTCTAGACACACAATGTACCGCTTCACACCATCCAACACTGTATGTATATGATCTGTTGAAGCCCTCACCTACATTTTCAGAACAAACACAAAGAAAAAAAATTTACAATATTAAAAATATAGTATCTACAATATATCTACATTTTATCTATAATTTATCTACACATTAACTACAAGCTACAAGTAAACTACAATTTGCCTACAATTTATCTACAATCTGGAGACACTGTATATTAAAATATTTTTTTCCTGCACCAAATAAAGAACTTGTATTCAAATTGTAGATATATGTAAATTTGTAGATAATATCATAAAACTAAAATTCTAAGCATTTTCGAACTACACAAACCTGCATTCTCATCTACCACAATGGCATCAACTTCAAAATCTCTAAATCTGCCATAGTTATCCCAATTCCCATTCAATTTTAGCATTATTGGAATTTTTGACATGATTTCGTGTAGTTGAGAGNAAAAGGCGACTAGGGAATGGAGGCCCTATGTCTAAAATCTCAACTCAGGGATTGGAGCCCTAATATTGGTAAAAGGCGACTAGGAAATGGAGGCCCTATGTCTAAAAACTAATCTCAGGGATTGGAGCCCTAATGTTGGCAAAAGGCGACTAGGGAATGGAGGCCCTATGTCTAAAAACTCAACTTAGGGATTGGAGCCCTAATGTTGGNATGATTTAGTTTAGTTGAGAGAAAAGAGATGAAGAACAGATATAGGTTCGACAATTTGAGTACTGAGGTCGATGAAGAACAATTTTGAATTCTACAATTTGTATTGCGTTGTAGAATTTGTAAAAGCAAATTGAGTACTGGAGCTCCTGAAGCTTGCGTTGTTTTAGAATTGTAGTGAATGAGAGAATTACGCAGCAATGAGATCTCTTTACGTTTCAAAATTCGAATTTAATGTGGAAAGAATCAAACGCAGATTTCGTGCCTTCTTTTTAGCGCGTTTTAAATGGCAGAATCTGCCTAATTATGGATTGGTATATAAATTGTAGTAAAAGTGTGGACTGGGTGGGTAATTAACAAATTATGAACATTTTTGGTAATAATGTTTCATGTATGGTATAGATAGGAAAAAATCCCAATTTTTTAAAAGGTAAATACAGTCCCGACCGGACCCGCCAATGCCTTGTACTGTCGGTGGCATTATAAGTGTTAATATTGAGGCACATGCATCATGACTAGGATACTCATCAACAACGTATTTTTCACGTTTCTGCTGATCTAAAGTAAATTCAAAATGCAGCTCCAAGTTTTGTCCTTCTTTTTACCTTGATGGTTGACATATTCCCTCTCATCATAAGGGCAGTAAAAAAAAAATTAACAAATGCACAGAATTTAGTTGGAGTCAAGATCTTCTAGCTAGCTTCACGAAGGACCTAGGGGTTTCTAAAAATAATGTGAAGTTATATTATTATTCTCTATATCAAATGTGGACTTGATGTGACGTAGCAGTTGAAGTATTGAGCATCCACATAATTATATCTTCACTCTGGATTTACAACCCGAGGTTGGTACGTTACTAGTGATACAAGTATAATATTAATTTGTTAGTGGAAAATGACTAATTTGGCTATTCAGTGGTCTTCTTGTTGAGTTCCTCTCCAGAAAGGAAAACATGGTGAAACCGTGACTGTAAGAGTCATTATTGTATTGAGGTGGTGAATAAGCTTGACTTCCACCTTCTGGAAATTAATTAAGGCACAGCTACTAATATAGCTTTAATTGCAGCTTGTCAATGACTTTAGTGACTTCATAAACCATCCCATTTCATATAATAAGAGCTTCCCCTTTGGGAAAAAAAATCTTATAACCTGGCACTGATCACCAAACTTGGTTATTCTTTTGATCAATTTGTTGGCAAGTTGAGTGAAGCAAAGATTTGTTTTTTTGACAAGTGGGAAATAGGATTAACAATAGGGAGGAAAACTAGCACTATTCAAACATCTGCTATAAGGAGCACCTTTTAGACATAAAACTTCTTAGTAACTAGTGTTAGAACCAGCGATGCGCGAATAATTTTTGACAGAATATTGATCTTATAAAATTATGATCTAATATATCATATTATTTTAATAAATCTTAGTTTTTGTTTCATTGTTTGATATAGTATGCAGAAATATAACAAAATTTATACGAAATCAAAGGATACACAACATATAGTAATCAAATAAATTGTTTGATCCTTATTTATTCTTTATCAAATTAGCAAGTACTTAGTACTATACATTTACTAATGTGACTTTTTAATAACTTCTCAATTGACTTAATATTTTGATACTACTTCTCTTTTAATATAACATAGATATATATTTTCTTACTCTGAAAATATTTTTATTTTTTAAAACTTATGTTATACAGTTCAAAATTCTTCAATGGTCTAAATTTATCAGTAATTTATTTGAGTGTTATTTATTTATTTTTTTGTTTTTTAATTAGTTCAAAATATAAATATCATAAATTATCTTTATCTCCCTATTTTCATACATTCTTTTATACTGTAATATTCAATTAGTTTTCTCATTTGTAGTTTACTAAATAATGTAATTTTTTTTGCTAAATTATAATTTTAAATTCATCAAAAGTATAAAGAGATAAGCCTTTATTATTTTTATAAAAAACCTACCAATATTTTTAATAATTATTTATGTATATATATATATATATATATATATATATATATATATATATATATATATAGACACACACACACACACATACACTATCCTAATAGTATCTTTATATTTATATTTTTTATTATGAAATTAAGAGTTCTATTTATTAATAAAATTTTAATTAGTATATATATTTTTACGCTATCGCTTGAATTTTTTATTTTCATTACTCCTTTATAACTATTTGATTATTATGATTTTAGTTATGTGTATATGTATAATTTTTCTCATCATAATTCTAATTATAAGTCTTATATATTTATATTTTCCTGCAAATTTATATATATTTTTCCTCGCTTATCTAATTGTATTATCCATTACTTAATATAATTAAACTGTCAGATGAATTTTTAGTAAATTATCAGTTCAATATAATACAATGTAAATTTGTATTACTCCTGAAATTTAACTTGACTTATTCTGTATGACTTTCTCATAATTATTTCGATATTTGAATTTATCAATAATATTTTCAAATATTATTTATTTAGTTAATTTTATCAAATAAACTTAAAGTGTGGATAG